CTCTCAAAGTTTAGATTGAGTGTTTTGAATGTTTTTAATATCTCATTCATCTACAGTAATTCGCCAGATTTTTAGAAAATTTTTTTCTCTCTTTAAAATTTTGATTTAATTCTCTTAACGCGCATAGCTTAGACTTCAGTCTCCACGAGGATTTTTAAAAATGCATACAGGGCATCCTGAATTATGTACACTATTGGCCATTAAAATTGCTACACCAGAAAAGCGACACACCACGAACGTGAAATTCGCAGGATGGATGAAGCATGTTGGGTATGCAAATGATTAGCTTATCAGCACATTCATGCAAAGCAAGCGGCGGTAACGACACCTACAATGTGTATAAAATAAGAAATTTGACACTAAGTTTCTCTTACAGAAATTGAATTTGAGCATTGTTCTTGTGTAAAAAGTTTTTGCTATGCCGCTGTAAAAAGGAGAATAGCCTACCAGTACGCGTCTGAGTTTGATCGAGGTCGAATTGTGGCCTACCGGGATTGCGGTTTATAATACCGACGTATTGCTGCCCGCGTTGGTCGAGATCCCATGACTGTTAGCAGAATATGGAATCGATGGGTTCATGACGGTCATATGGAACGCCGTACAGGATCTCAGTGCCCCCCCCATCACTAACAGCCGAGAAGACAGACATGTTATCCGCATGAGGACGTATTTTTTTTCTGACGAATCCAGGTTCTGTATACAGCATCATAATGGCCGCATCCGTGTTTGGAAACATCGCGGAGGACGCCCATTGGTAGCTTGCATTCGACATCGTCATACTGGCCCATCACCTGGAGTAATGATATGGGGTGCTATTGGATACAGGTCTCAATCACCTCTTGTTCGCATTGCCGGCACTTAGAACAGCAGCCGCTACATTTCTGATGTGTTAGGGCCAGTTGCTCTGCCTTATATTCGAGGTCTCCATAACGCTACGTTTCAGCAGGACAATGCACGACCACGTGTTGCCTGTACTGCTCTGACCTTCTTTGACATAGAACATGTTCGCCTGTTGCCCCAGCCAGCACGTTATCCTGATCTCTCACTAATTGAAAACGTCTGGTCAATGGTTTCCAAACGACTGGCACGCCACCACTCATCAGTCACTACGGTCTATGAATTGTGCCATAATGTTAAAGCTGCATGGAATGCTGTACCCGTCCATGCTATCCATTCTCTGTTCGACTCGATGCCCAGGAGAATAACTGCTGTTATTGCTGCAGCCTCTGCTTTGAGTACTGATTCCTCAGGATCTATACATCCAAGTATCCTGAAAATTTAATCACTTGTTCTTCCAACTATAATGTATGTGGCCCATAAATACCATTCTGTTATTTGCATTCCTTCCTGGTGTAGCAATTTTAATGGCCAGTAGTGTATATGGGTAATTCATTCCATGTCAACCCACTCATTTTACATCACCCTTCTAGATTTAAATAAAATTCGACATAGAGGTAGTATTTGTGTAGGTAAAGAAGCATACCAATTTTTATTTGAAAATATCTACTCATTTTGAAAATATGGCCCTACAAAAATTTTAAAAATCTTTACAAAGCACTTTTTAAAATGATCTAAAAAAGTTTCTAATTTACCTAGAGAGTTTTGCTAGTTACCGATTTAAAGTTATTTTCAATACCTTTACAATGATATGAAACACATTTACTTATAAAAATATTTCCTAAATTAAATTTTAATTAAAACTTAAGTTTTTTTAAATGCTCTGCTTCAAACATTTTCAAAAAAATTTGAATAATACTTTGCATAATAAAGTGATTGTGAAAGTTTAAAGGTGGGAACTTGATGGGTTCATGGTAAAATAAATGGGTTCATGGAAAAATAATTTATTGAACTGAGATTTGCTTGTTAAAAAAATGTGCAATTGCACAATAGAAATTAGATGATAAAGGAAAATAAAAAGTACTAAATAAGCTGTGCAAATTTAATTTTAGTACTTTTCATATAATATCAAGCTAACAATTACATAATATATATTTTCCTGAAATCTTTATATATTTATTCCCCACCCCCTTTTTTTTTAGTGTTTTTCATTTAATCATTCTAAGTTGTAAATACAAACTTATTTTACACACTTTGAATTCTGAAATGATAGTTTAAAATTTTTTTAAATTGAAATATAAAAATTTTAATTTTTTAAAATGCGCAAAATAAGAAAATATTAAAAAATTATTTGAATAATATTTATTATAATACTAAAGTGATTGGGTATGTTTGAATGTGGGTAACTACATTACAAAATGGTTCTCAAGTTGTGAAGAGAAAAAAAACATAATTAAGAAATTAATACGCTTTTTTAATATTTAAAAATTGACATTTGTTTTGTATCAATATAAAGCAAATAATAATGAAACTGTGAGTACCTATTGCTTTATATTCTTGTATGTTTCATTGATACGTAAAATTTCAATTTCTGGCAATCTCCTGTTAGAGTTATGAGGTTAACTAAACAAACAATTTCACTGGCAGAAACCCAAACTACATCTGGCCTTCTTATGTGAGAAAAAAAAAGGTGAACGTTCTGCTGGATGTCGGAAAAGTACTTTCACTTCTTCTTCATTTTAAAATAACCAGTAATAGGTTTACTTTTTATTTTATAACCGTCGTTGAACAGCCGACCCAATTTTCGGGTTTGCGACTACTAATGTTCAACTCCGTAGCCTTTTAATTTTGAGCCCAATCAAGAAGACAAGGGAACTCTTGGATCAAGTATTGGGAGAAATGTGCCTTCGTGGAGTTCTTTTTAATTTTTTTTTTATGGAACTAACCCCCATTTACGTTACACGTAGAGGAAAACCTCCCACGGATTGTCTGACGGCAAAGGGACTCTAACCCATGATCCGTCTACCACTGAGGATACTTCACGTCAGCATTGTGGTCGGTGCAAGCCGGATGCGGAATTCGTATCGACCAGCCATCGCCGGGATTCGAACCCGGCTCACCGCATTAGAAGGCGAACTCTCCCTCCCCTGAGCCATCACTGCTCTGATAGGTATACTTTTTTTACAACCGTCACTGAACAGGCGACTCCATTTTGGGTTTACGACTACTAATGTACAACTCCGTAGCCTTATAAGCGAAGTGCCACTCAGCTCTAATATGAAAATCTTCTTGATGGAAACACAAATTAGTGTAGTTTTTCTTATTTATATATTTAGCAGCTGAATCGTCGAAAAAGGGAAAAATCTTTTTAATCCTTCCATCAAACTTAATTTTTAAGCATTAATTAATTTCTTCGGGAAACAATTCCTTTCCGGGTTTTTTAATAGAGTTTCTAAATAACATCTGTAGCGTATCCACCTTCTCGCACTATTGCTACTCAGTCTCGTATCAATCACACACAACGTTAGCCTGCATACACTCGACTGCTAAAGGCAACACAGGAGCGACTACGACCATGATCTTAATACAGCTCTCATGACTAATGTTTCAAACCCGGTGACCTTAATCCAGCTCTCCCAGTCTGTCACAAATACAGCAACTACTGGTATCCATGTATCGAATTCTGTCACAGATATAATTCTGGTGGGGGAGTACTGTAACGTATCTACCACTACAAAATTACAATTACAATTCACTAGTATATAAGGCATGTTAACTCGATTCTATGACGGGGTAACTTTTCATAGATGAAGGTTGACATTGCAGATTACTCATATCCCCACAGCATCAACACATTTTTTTTCTTCCATTGTCGAAAAGTTACCTTCTCAATCATGTTTTCATCAAATACTTATTCCAATTAGTAATAGCATTTCACAATCAGGTGGATAGTCCATATACAAACTGTATGAGTTCCACTTTGACTGGCTAATATGGAATACTTTGGTCTGAGTTCAACTAATTTCGAAAAACTGACTTTCAAATTAGGAAGTTTTTTTTTGTAAACTCTGTAAACCTCCGTCAAGTTGCAGAAACTTAATAGTTTAGACACTTCAATTTCTCTCCATTTTCTCATGCAATCTTTTATTTCTGGTAATGGTCTACTTATTTCAATACTTTTTAGTACATATATTTTTAGTTGAATGGTTTCAACTGTTTTATGCCAAGAAACAGCAATTATTGGGGTTGGTGAGTGTCAGCAAGCAGGGGGCTTAACCCCCTGCTTGCTGACACTAGTCATATAAAAATTACTAAAACTATATTTGAGAAACTGATTTTTTTATTTTCATATATTATCTAATTTCTATTGTGTAGTCGCATATTTTTTTAACAAGCAAATCACAATTCAAATAATTATTTCACCAGGAACCCATCAAGTTTTGAAACTTAAATTTTAATTCCATTTTTAAAAAAATTAAATTTTAATTCCATTTTTAAAAAAATTAAATTTTAATTAAATGAGAATCTTTTTTTATTAGTGAATGTGTTGTGTATCATTGTAAAGGTCTTGAAAAAAGCTTTAAATTGGTACCTTGCACAACTCTCTAGTTAAACTAGGAAAGTCATTTTAATAATTGGTCTGTGAAGGTTTTTTGGTCATTTTTTTTTAAAATTTTTGAAAGGCCTTATTTCTAAAATGAATCAATATTTTCGAGTAAAATTTGGTATGTTTATTTACAAACACTGCCACTGTGCCAAATTTGATCTAAATCCAACAGGGTATGATAAAATTTTGCCGAAAATTGTGTTGATTTGACACAGATGACATATCCGCATTATATAGACTTGCTGAGGCCATTACGTGCATTACGTAGAAGAGCTGAGGCCAATTTGATAGGCCACATTTTCGAATTGTTCAATACAGTATTAATTTTTTTTGGGGGGGGAGAGGGACACCACGATTTCCATGTAAACAATAAGTTTCTGTTGAGTATAGTACTGTTTCCTAGCGGAGATTCCAAAAACTTGTTAAGCACGGATTTGGAAGCAATAAACAGTTTAATATAAAAATTTCACCTTTAACTCAATACTACTCCAAACCCTTAATATTTCTCTTTATTGTATTTCCGTAAAATATTTATATATTTTTTTTTTCATTTCAGCTTTTTACTGCAGTGAAATATGGAGCAAAGTATGTTAACTTTTTTATGTTATATTTGAAAGCAATATTTTATATTTGCATTACTTTTTTTATATTTATACTATTCCTTGCATATATAATAGGCAATTTCATTCATTATTCCCTGAGATTTGGTTCGTATTACACAAGTTTTTAGCAAAGCTGCTAGTTGTTAACATTTCTTCCTGCGTTATAACTGAAAATCGAGGAAAAAAAACATGTTTTATGTTCCATAATATTTCAATTGTTTCGTCCAGTTACTCGTTCAATGTTATATATCTATTTTATTATGCACCATTACTTCCTTTATTGTAAGAAATATTTTAATTTTTTTTAATGAAAAGAGCATTTGTGAAATTAAATTTTTTTTATAATTATCGTTTGTGTATTTTTCCTAATACAATATTCTAAACGTGTCAATCTTTATAGTTGATTTTTTAACCATTCTAATAAAGTGAAATTGTAAATTAAAATATTAAGAACTAAAATATTAAAATTAAGTAAATTAAAATATTAAAATTAAATTAAAATATTAAGCACTCTCATTATTTGACATATAATATAAAAAGACACGTTCACAGTGTAATTTATTAAAAAAAACTCGATGTGTAAAAATTTATCCTAGTTTTATTACTAACTACAGTTAAATAAAAAGAAATTTATTACAGTCAGCTTAAGGCTAAAAGAAACAATCGTTGCAGCAAATTCATGTGACAGAACAAAATTTATACTCTCGGAGTTTTTAATTTTAGTTCAAAAAGTTTTCGAGAGATGGAACTGTAAGTCTCTACCCTTTGATTTCGACAATTGATAGCGGCTTATTTCTGTCACTTCGAAAATATTGTAATTTTAACGTTCATTCATAAAAGATTTCGAAAGACTTTGAAGTTGTTTTCAGTTTTTTTCTTCCCCTTTTTGATTTGCAGGTTTTGCTATCTGTTGTGTCATCCGTCGGAAAAGTTTTGACCTGAAATCAAAAACCCTGGAACATAAAAACTATATATTGACTCTTGAATTTGCCGCTAGAATTATTATTTTTTTACCTTAACCGATTTTCGATTATAAATTTTGGAAAACCGTTGGTCTAGTTTAGGGTTCCCTGTATATTCTAATAAATATTACCTGTAACATCGGCTCTTGTTGAGAAAAAAGCCCAACTTCAGAAATTATTAATCAGATTGTAGCGAGTCTGTCTTCGCGTAATCCAAAACATTTGGATATCTACTAAAAATGATTTAAAAGCATTAGGCTTTATCTTCTTTTATTTATATCTTCATAATTAACACTGAAGAATTCAACTAGACAGAGGCTGCAGTTTCAGAAATTTTTCTAGCACTAAAAACCACTTTTAAAAGTTATATCAAATATCTGTTCTTTTTCATCCAAAAATGTAGCATTCGTATCTATCATCACATTTAAATCATAATCTAATATTATATCATAATCTAATTTAATCAACAAATCCTACCAATATTTTCAGACAAACGTAAGAAATTTACTGAAAAAAAAAACTCACTGGTAATTTACCTAACGGACATTTCTGTTTGTTTACATCACGAAAAATCTGGAAGGTTTTGAACCATAAAATTGGAGGGTATTAAAGCGAGAAGATTGGCTTAAAGTTTTCAGAGAAGAATGAAACTAAAGTTTTTTGAATGCAAACAATATCTTAGAAACGAAAGTAAAATTGATTGAAAAATAAGCAAAATCAAAGAGGTACAGAAAGAGAAAATGTGTGATAAACAACAAACATCATACCAATTGTTTGAATGTATCGAACTTCATTCTCAGTTTTTATATAGATTCAAGCTAGTTATGATTTAGATGTCAATCAAAAAATGGATTTCTAGGCAGTACAGAGCTAGCGCAAAAGGAGTACATGGCTACAAAAAGTACAGGGCTAGCACAAATGAATGACAGAATTTTAAATATTTATACTTTTGAAACTATCATATTATGAATGAAAAGTTTATTTGTAACTGCATAGTTTCACGAAAATTGTACCAAAAGTTTGTTTTTTTCAGTTACAAATATTCGATGTGTGACCTAGTTGCACGACAAACATGCAACCTGTTATCAAGTTTTGTTCAACATTTAATTTTTTTCTAAAAAAAAAGGATCTTTTATAAATCATTTTTATGATAAAAATCCGTTCCCAAATTAAACAGACCCTTCCATATTATTTTATTTAAAAATGTCCTTTTATGAGGGTTGCTATTTATATTTCTGGCCTTGGCAACAGTAAGTGTTGCTAGGCGACCGCAGACGATTTTAATCGAAAGTTTGATATTTTTAAACATAAATTCAGCAGACGATTTACCATTATAGCTTCATTTGTGTTGTTGACAGTAAATTGAAAAGTTCTTCTCTTTCAAAAAATGGAATTGAATCGTGAACATTTTCGTGCCATTATTTTTCATAACTTTCGACGTGGATTGTCAAGACAAGAGTGCTTCGATGAACTTAATTCTTTATTCAGCGATAAAGCGCCATCCTACAGCACTGTAAAAAATTGGTATAACGAATTTAATCGTGGTCGATGTTCGATCCAGGACGAATCCCGTGCAGGTCGTCCAAAATCCGTTGTTGTGCCAGAAAAGATCGATGCTGTGCGTGAACTGATAAAGCAAGATCGTCATGTGACATACCGTGAGATAGAGGCGTCTTTGGACATTAGTATGACTAGCATCAATAAAATATTGCATGAACATTTGAGCGTAAAAAAAATTTGTTCGCGTTGGATCCCGCATAATCTGACAAACGCTCAAAAAAAGGCTCGTGTCGATTGGTGCAAGGAAATGTTGGAAAAATACGTTCAAGGTACATCAAAGGCTGTGTATAACATCTACACAGGTGACGAATCATGGATCTATGCATATGAGCCGGAAACAAAACAGCAATCAACTGTATGGGTCTTCCAAGACGAGGCAAAACCAACAAAAGTTGTTCGAGGAAGAAGCACATCGAAACAAATGATTGCCTGTTTCTTCGGCATTAACGGTCATGTGGCAACAGTGGCGTTAGAGCAACGCAGGACGGTCAATTCTGAATGGTACACGACCATTTGTTTGCCAGAAGTCATCGGAGAAATTCGAAAAAAGCAGAAGAACAGGCGAATCATTCTTCATCATGACAATGCGAGCTCTCACACATCGACTCAAACAAAGGCATTTCTGACGGAGCGAAAGATCGAACTGATGGGTCATCCGCCGTACAGCCCTGATTTGGCACCCAATGACTTCTTCTTATTCCCACACATCAAAAATAAATTACGTGGACAACGATTTTCGACCCCCGAAGAAGCGGTTGATGCATTCAAAACGCATGTTTTGGAGTTACCTCAATCGGACTGGAAAAAGTGCTTTGAAAATTGGTTCAAACGCATGCAAAAGTGTATTGATCATCATGGAGAATATTTTGAAAAACAATAAAACCAATTTCGATCCTACATATTTGTTTCTTCATTATTAGGCCAGAAATATAGATAGCAACCCTCGTATAAATTATTTTATCATCGAAATAAAGCACTTCGCGGACATTTTTACCGTAAAAAAGAACCTTCACAAACTATTTTATCATAGAAATAGAACACCCCGCGGATGTTTTTACAGTAAAAAATATCCTTAACAAATTATTTAATGATTAAAAAGGATCCTTCACAAATTACTTTACCGTGAAAATGACAGAAAATCCGTATTCGTTATTCGGCTATTCTCAAGAACCGGTTTCAGAGAGCAAATAGCTTTATAAAATTTCAACTCGGACTTTAGAAAAGTCATTAAAAAACAAAATTACCTTAATATTCAAGGTTTAATTATTAATGTATGAGTATATAATATAAAATGTAAGTAATATGCATTATATGTCATAAATATTAAGAATCGAGCTTAATCCTGACAGCAGAACAAATTTATTGAAACACTTCCAGCTTATAGAATGCAGGATAAATAGCCTTTTCACTTGAAACGCATAAGCTTATATGCAATTTGCTATGAAGGTCTTAATAGAATGTTCTATAAACTTCTAGAAGACATTTAAATAATAAATTAAACCTTAATTTATTAGTTTTATTTTTTAAATGCCAGAACAGGGATTTTCGCCAGATCAGGGATTTTGACCATCTAACTACACTGACAAACTCTTCACCTCATTCATAGAGATGCTGTCACTTAAAAAATACTTAATTTCTGAATTTAAGTAACTTTACTCTAAGAAGCACTTTTTTCGTAGTAATCTGATGAAAACCCGAATTGATCCGGAATGTTGTTAGAAATAACTCGTGACGTATTTTCTTATACAGTCGCATTTTACCTATATTTATAGAAAATATACCAAGATTCAATGTTAAGTATGCGATAACGGTATGCTTTTATTTTATAATTTTTGTGTCTTTTTCCTAGCACCTCAAACAACTGTTGTGGTCATGCCTGTAACTCCGTTTGGACCCGATCCTATGCAAATAACGTGTGGAAACTGCCATAAAGCTGTTGTAACTACAACTGTCGCTACTAATGGTGCTTGTGCTTGGATAGCAGCAATAATGGTTTGCATTTGTTGGTAAGTAAAACCATACCATTTTTCTGTTCTTAGTGCATTTCTCTTTTGCATGTTTTTGCATTCACTTTAAATGCTCTCGTGTGAACTAGTTTGTAAGTTAACTGTTATTTGCGCTATACTCCTATTTCACTTTCTAACTCTTAAAAAGGCGCGTGAAAATCTATGAATTTGTCCTTCTACTCGGTGAGATGTTCTTTCAGAGCAAAAATTTTAGCAAGACTATTTGAACAACGTGACGACGACCTTATGAATTTCTTAAATGATCTAACAATTTTTAATCCATGGATCCTATTGAACTATTGCATTGTGCAGTTAGCAATATCTTATGAAATCGACTTATTTGACCCATATGTTTGGTAAACTCAAGTCGAGTTTCTGTCAAAAGAAGGTCAATCATTTAGTATTCCATAGTTTGTATGAAAATTGTAGTATATAAATCATATGAATTAAAAATC